CCTACACCACCGAACCTCCAAACCATCAAGACTTTCATCCGAGACTGCATCCGTACGCTCGTTCCAGGCCAAGGCAATGCAAGTATTGTGCATTTAACTGAACGAAACAGAGGTTTAGTATAAGCTATAGACCCCGTTATAAACGGCACTGATGGTTTTTAACTCAGGTGGTTCTGACTCATTTTCCATAACTGCATTCTCTGGTTTCTCTAATGGCTTCATTCATCCACTTTAGCTCCTCTTTTGTATGTTGTATGTGTGTGTGAGTGTATGTATGCTTGTTTGTTTGTTAGACTAGTTTGTGTTAGTGTTTAGTTAATAAAACTCTTGTGCACAAATTACATGAGTTTCTGATTCTGCCTTGCAAATTAATTGTCCCTTTACGATTTTGATCCTTGCTACATGTTCTAATGCATTAAAACTGTATGAAAGTATTTTCTGTAGCCACGGAAATATTTCTTTCCTAGAGTTGATATGAACTTACACTGAATGTTCGCTGGACGAACAGATTGGTTGATGGCCATTTAATTCTGCTATATACTGGCAGCTGATATAAATAATTGTAATTAATCACAATTAATTGTAATTATTTATATACATTTCCCTTTTGAGCTAATTTGCTACAAAAATTATTACATATTGCCATGAAAGTTTGTTGGTTCTGGGACTTCACCTCTCGTTTTGCTTCTATTGCACGACAAGCCTTTGTCTTTACAGTTTACTGGAAACCACAATAGAGTATGAATAATTACACACAGACACAAACTTTTAAACCATAAACACTAACAATAATGATAAAAACTAATTTTTATGGAAGGATTTTCACTCTATATTTTTTATAGAAGCACTGCCAATCAAACACTAAAACATCACTAAAGTTTACAGAATGGATATTATCCATAAAAGCATAAGTATTTGAACCCCATTAAAACCACACCTTCTTTTTAACCACTTTTGGCCTCATTAAAGACATCATGCGCTTGATATAAAAAACCGCAAATATAATGTGTTAGTGTAAGGCAACTTGGTGACATAAGGTTTACTCAACGATTACCTAAAAAAAAAAAAACTGTACACAGTCAACTGCTACAAACACTTTGTTTTATTTAAGTTTTAGTTAAGGACTAATCAAACATTACTCATACTGTTCCCAATATGCCTGGATGTAGTTGTTCTCCTCAGGGTCAGGGTACAAATGACGGACAGGTTTGGAGCACTTCATGCCAGCGTTGCTGGTTTTGTGGGCACATTCATCACTGTGGGTATTACATGTGCTGCAGTGGCAGCTAAGTGCCACCGGATAGGTGAAGTGAGGATCTGCATGTGAAGGGCAGCCGGGCAAGATGGCCGTCCGGTACTCTACTTCTTGATACGTGCAGCCCCTCTGAACCAGGAAACGAGGACCCACCAACTCCTTCACATTACTGTCCTATAGGATGGATATTGTGATGCAGATTTAGCCACACTAAATCAACATCCCAGTTATCTTAAAATGTCTATAAATTGCATTACTCATGCTCCTATATTTACAAACCCATTCAACCTTTGTTCTTCTGTGGAACCCAAAATAAAATTACATTCAATGGAAATACATTTTTTTTCCTCTGTTTGTGTTCCACAGAAGTCAGTCATACAGGTTTGGCAAACAATAAGAGAATTATCATCTGCTTGTTGTGCTGCAAGCTGGAATATCTCTCCTTGGATCCACTTCCCTGTACACCTTCACTTTTCCTCACCGTGTTCGCTTACCCTGGAGAAACAGAAGCCCATGCAGATGGTGGTGTTGACAGCCACACAGTAATTGCACTCCTGTCTCTCGATGTAAATGGTGTACTCAGTGGGTGCACACATAGGCATGGCTACCTTCATCAAAATACCCAGCAGGCCAACCACATACACAGGAGACATAGCTGGCGGAATAGCAGGATGTCTATTAAAGAGATACGGAGAACCAGAGTGAATATAATGAAAAATAAACACTAAAAATCACAAAAGTAGACAGTAAACCAGGCAACATGATTTAAAAGTCCTCTTAAACTAGAAATGACATTTTTTTGAGAAATGTGAGTGGTGCTGGCACTTGCTGTGGGTGGTTGCTAGTGCATTGTTATGTGGTTACATATGCTGCCTTCCAGCACCTTCGAGTTGGGCGCTTATTATTGCGACATGTCACGCATTCAAATTGGAAACATAACATGGAAGCAGTAGAACAAATGAAATACATTGTGAACAATAAACCCACATAACTACATATGAATTCAAAAGGATGAAAACACATTTCTATCACTTATTTTTACATGGAATCACAACAAAATGCAAAGTTAACCGTAAGAGTTGAGTAATTAAAACCATTTGCTATAGACTTGCTTTCTGATCTCCCTTTATATAACTTATACACATTATCTATATTATAGATATTCACATTTTCGCCATGTTTTTAATTGATGCCTCTTCCAACGTCACAACTACGCAATTTGTCTATCACAGAATTCCGAGTTTCTCACTCGACTTTGCTTCGTAATTACAATATTTCCAACTCCGCTTGAAGGGTAACCACAGTAAGGGCGAATTCCAAACGGCGTTTTTGTACCCTTGAACGATACTTTGGGAAGGGAGCGCCATTCGTAGGTGGTGAACTGTCACGAATCCGGTCTATGAACTTCCGTTCACTCACCACTGGACTATTACCATGTACCTGGATTATCTCTCTCTGTCTAGCCCTCTGGATGTCGTTTGCTGATCGGAGACCCTCGTCTGCTCTTGGATTATTCTTGTGTCTTGCCCGTACCATACCAGTTTGCCATTGTTTGACCCTGCCTGTGTTCGGACCATGTTTATAAATAAAGCTTGCACATGGATCCTCACGTCTCATCGGCCCCATTACATGAACACCATAAATCCATTCATGACGGGCCCTTCCACAAGTCCGTTTAGCGATTTTTAATATTGTTATTACCATTATTATTATTTTGTTACAGCATGCAGTGACTCAGCGCTAGAAAAAAAAAACACAGGATTGAATGTTTAAAATGGAGATACTTTTAAATTTTTACACCGTCTTAAAAACGTGACATTGAAAAAGCCTTGGGAACTTTAACTCAAAAATACACACCGAATGTCATAGCTATCATTTCATGTGTCTTTCTGAGCTTTCCTAAACTTTTTGACTGTCAAACAGCAGTATTATAGTAGAAATCAAAGGACCACTTACCTGGAGGGGATCTGGTCAAGCCTGTTTGTGTCGAAAGGCTGCTGTTCTTATACAGACACTGAACATGACCTCCATCTGTCTCCATCATCATCTATTGTGCAGCATGCATAAAACTAATGTTTTCTAACCAAATCACCCGCATGCTGTATGCTCACCTTTCAGGGCCCACTAAATATTCACCTTGTATCTAAATTAGTTGCTGCTTTTCATGCAGGTCTGTTACATTTGAATATCAACTAAAGTCTCAAGTGTTTCTCTTAAAATGACTTGTAAAATCAAAAATCAAAATAGAATTAAAAAAATAATTAAATGAACAAAATAAAAAATATAAACAATTAGAGATTTTTTTTTTTTTTAGGTATATTTGGCTTTGGTAGTATCCTATCTCTTGTTCTTGGAGGAACTTTATGAGAATTTTATAGTAAAGTCTGTGACCTTTTATTGCAGACTTTGTATCTGAGGACAGTTGCAGACATCGTTGAGATCTCAGGTAATCTCATGAATAGACAATCTACAACTATTAGTAAAGTCTAAGAAAAATAACTAAGACACTAGAGAGATCTCATTTGGGATTTTCCTTTCCTACAGTAGCTTTTTGGGTCTGATCCAAAATCAATCTTGCCACCGTATGATAGCTTTGGTATAAACATATATAATGTCACTTTTCTACAATAATTACAGGATTCATGTAATACTTTTCTAGTGTTCCTAAGATACTCAGTGTTTAAATATATCCTATGTCGGTTATGTACACAAATTAAGCTGTATTATAACATGGCAACAAATGGGTTTCATTTACTCATCTAGCTTGACAGATCACACACCTGATCTTTACGTGCTATCAGCTCAGTCAATTTACCGAGTTCTCATCATATAAATCTTTCATGTCTTATCTGGTGTGCAAAGTTCACAGTACAGTATAGAAAATAGAAAAGTAAATGCACGCACAGTTTGCATGCAATTCTTTCCAGCTGAGTGCTTCGCATCTTCAGCGCTCAAATAGGAGAAAGGATGCCATTAAAAATTGTTTTGCAGCTTGGAGAACCTGTAACAGCATCACAACGACAAGATGTTTTGACGGTGTCACAGATTAACTTCCTAATGTTGATTTACTGGAGTGAACTATAGGTTCATGTTCACAGTACACGTGCCATTGAATAGCATCTATGTGTGATTTTACAGCTATCTTTTATGTACTCATATCTGACGACGTCCTACAGAACCCTTGTTTCACATGCTGTTAATAATTGCTGCATCTTATCACCTGTAATGTTTCTGTCAAGCTGTAACGGAATGGAAAACGGCACACAGTTTCTGATTTACCTGGAATCGTCAGTAGACACTGATTCAACAGGACCCACAAGAAACATTTTAAGCTAAAAACAAAAGTCTTATTTCAAGTAAACTTCAAAAGAGTACCAGGAACTGAAGAATTTGACATGACCTGCTACGAGCACGTGATGAAATGGTATGTTAGTTCTGTTCTGGACGTCCTCTGATCTTCTGAAAAGGGCCTAGAGCTTCTTGCGGTTTACCTTATTAGCTTATCAATGGAGGGCAAATGAGTTGACTGACTAAGCGTGGTTAAAGTCAGCACAAAGCGTCCTCATAAATTCATTAAGCAACTTTGATTAAACTGTTCCTGCAAGATTAGGAATAAAAAACATTCACTTGCTATTACAATGTAACTTGATATGTCTTCTGGCCTTGAGGGATCATTAACCCAAGTTTTTTTGTGGTTGGTCCAAGATTACAGAAGACCTGACTTCTTATCAGTTATTGGCACTGACAGGAGCTACTTGGTTTCTTCTCCTGTTGGCTAAAGCTTCAGACTAATTTCCAGCTGAACATCACTTCTGACCGGCGTGACACCGGCTATATAGCTTTTGAAGGTCTCACTGAACACACTTTCCGAATCATGCCGGGCAGCGGAGGTCCAGTTGCGACGTTCTCAGTATGGGACTATGTGGTGTTCGCCGGCTTGATTCTTTTTGCTGCGGGCATCGGCTTGTTCCAAGCCATCCGTGGACGCAAGGAGGCCAGCAGTGATGAGTTTCTCCTGGGCGGCCGTCAGATGACCGCAGTGCCTGTGGCTTTGTCCCTCACAGCTAGCTTTATGTCAGGTATCACTGTTATTGGCACTCCTGCGGAGGCGTATATGTACGGCACACCATTCTGGCTCTTTGTCTTCTCCTACACCATCATGTCCATCATCAGCGCTGAACTCTTCGTGCCTCTGTTTTACCGGCTGAGCATCACCAGCACATACGAGGTAAGAGGGCAACACTGGGCACAAGGGGTTTGCATGAGGACAGAGAACAGAGACAGAAAACACCATTTGTGCCTGTGCTTGCTAAAGAATCAATTGATGGAAATAGAACGAGGACCAGAGAGAGAGACAGTGAAATAAGGATTATTAAAGGAAAGAGGTAATGTCAGGATAGCTTATTTGTGACCCTGGACCACAAAACCAGTCATAAGGGTAAATTTAGTGAAATTGAGATTTATACATCATCTGAAAGCTGAATAAATAAGCTTTCCATTGATGTATGGTTTGTTAGCACAGGACAATATTTGGCCAAGATACAACTATTTGAAAATCTGGAATCTGAGGGTGCAAAAATATCAAAATATTGAGAAAATCACCTTTCCAAATAAAGTTCTTAGCAATGCATATTATTAATCAAAAATTAAGTTTTGATATATTTACAGTAGGAAATTGACCAAATATCTTCATGGAACATGATCTTTACTTAACATCCTAATGATTTTTGGCATTTTGACCCATACAATGTATTGTTGGCTAATGCTACAAATATACCCGTGCTACTTATGACTGCTTTTGTGCTCCAGGGTCACATTTGTATAGATTTATCGCTTCTAGACATTTTCATAGTGAAGAGTTTTATTGTATAATCCAAAGTGCAAAAGCTATTCTTGGTTACTGTCCATGACCGCTGTACAACATTTCCAGTTACTTCAACTTAAAAACTAAAGTTCAGTTGCTGCCTTCAATTTTATGTATAATCAAGTTGTCTGTACAAGCCATTTCAGGTTCAATTATTTTACACTAACTTTAAAAATAAGTTAAAAATGCTTAAATTATTTTGAATTAAAGTAATCGAAAAATGTTATTATATGACTAACTGGTTACATAATTTTGTGCAGTTTGGAAAAACAACAACAACCCCCCGCCCCCCCCAAAAAAAGTAAACTCAAAATATTTAAAAATGTAAAATAAATCTAAATGAAAACAAAAAGGTATATATTTAGAGTTCAAATAAATCAATGACGTGTACTTCGGTAAAAGGTTTAGATAATGTGACTTTTCGACACAAGATTCTTATCATTAACCTTTAAAACAACAGATGTTAACAGTATGTAATAGTTGATCGTACAAACCGAGTTTTGTGTAATTATGTAAATTATATAAAGCAAATTTGTTGTTTCGTTCGCTAATAATTAATTGAATTGGTCACTTGTTTTTGCAGTACCTGGAGATGCGTTACAACAAGCTGATACGAATGATTGGAACCAGCATGTATATTGCTCAAACCGTGAGTTGGCTTTTAGCTTCTTGCGTGACTTTATACATAACTAAACACGCATTGCAATTGCGTCATCGTATTTCACTTTGGAAAAACAATGTCTGTTGGGTCTATGCTGCTTTCATGTCATAATGTTGCATAGGTGTTGAATATATTGAAGAGTTTAAGGCAAAAGAGATTTTTGTCCAATTATCTAATGGGTATTGTTATCTCTGATAGGTTTTATACACAGGCATGGTTATCTATGCTCCTGCACTCGCACTTAATCAGAGTAAGTAAAGAATCATTTCCGTTTATTAATGTTTGGATAATAGAAGTCTCTTATGCTCATCAAGGCTGCATTTATTTAATCAAAAATAGAGTAAATGCAATTATTGCAATTTTGATCCTTCAGAAATCATTATAATATGCGGATTTTCTACTGAAGAAACATTTCTTATTATTATCAACGTTGAAAACAGTTGTACTGCTTGACATTTTTATGGAAACCATGATTTTTTTCAGGATTCTTTGATTAATTGGAATAAATTATATTTTAAAATATATTCAAATAGAAAACAGTTCTTTTAAATTATAATCATATTTGGTAACACTTTATTTTGATAGTCCACTTTAGACATTCTACTAACAGTAAGTAGCTTTGCAACTACATGTCAACTAGCAGTTATTAGAGTATTAGTAGACTGTCTGCTTAATACTATTTTGATGGGTCCACAACATACTGACTATAAGAAACTTTGCAAGTATATGTCTAACCCTAAACCAAGCCTAACATGTAGTTGCAAATTAATGAGAATTGGTTAACATGTAGTTGCAAAGTTACTTTTAGTTTGTAGAATGTCTAAAGTGGACTATCAAAATAAAGCGTAACCTAATATTTCATAATATTAGGGCATTTATCATCAAATAAATGCAGCCTTGGTGAGCATGAGAGACTTCTTTCAACAACATTAAAAAATTGTATCATTCCGAACTTTTGAGCGGTATTGTATATCAAATCAAATAAAGCTAGCATGTAAACGTTCTTCAATTAGAATCCCTCCCAAAGGAGGATTTTAGCAAATGAAAACACATAAATATGTATAAATAAGCTGTTGTGTTGCAGTCACCGGTCTGGATCTGTGGGGAGTGCTAGTGGCAACAGGGGCCGTCTGCATCATCTACTGCACCCTGGTCAGTAACATAATTCAGTTTAATCGCAATTTCACACAGTGTCCCATACACTCCTGCCTGTTTTCTACTTTTACATAAATTACCATGAATAATAAAATCAGTAAAGGCTGTGAAAAAAGACCCATTTTCACCAACATTGCTGTCTTTTATATATTATTCTCAGCCTTCAGGTGCTCACCTAAACTATGATTTGCACGAAAGGACAAAATGTTCGTCTTACGTGAATATGCTTTTGTTAACAGGGAGGGCTGAAGGCAGTGATATGGACAGATGTGTTCCAGATGATCATCATGTTGAGTGGGTTTGTGGCGGTCATCGCTCGTGGAGCTGTGCTGCAGGGGGGATTTGAAAAGATCTGGAATGACAGCTACTATGGCGGACGTTTGGAAACGTTCAGGTAAAGAATTCTGCACTAACATACAGTACTGTTCAAAAGTTTGGGGTCACTTTTTAAAGAAATGTATACTTTTGTTTAGCAAGGATGCATTCAAGTGATGCGAAGTGACAGTAAAGACATTTATGATGTAACAAAAGATTCAAAATATTACTGTTTTTACTGTATTTTTGATCAAATAAACAGCCTTGGTGAGCATATGTTAGAACAAAAACAATTTGTACCGACCACAAACTTCTGAACAGTAATGTACAGTTAAATACAGACTACTTCAGATGGACAAACAGACAGATATTCTAACAAACCTCTCAAATGGTTCTTCAGTTTTGATCCTGATCCTTTGAGACGTCATAGTTTTTGGACAATTGTTGTTGGTGGCAGTCTGATGTGGGCATCCATGTACTCGATCAACCAATCACAGGTCCAGCGCTACATCTCCTGTAAGACAATGACTCATGCCAAGCTGTGAGTATGTTCACTCAAGACATGATATTATAAAAGTTCACTCATGCTAACATGGTGCAAACACTAGTGTCCTGTCAACATTTGCCCACACAGATCTCTGTATTTGAATATGGTGGGATTATGGGTGACAGTGAGTTTGGCCATGTTCTCGGGTCTCACCATGTACTCCATCTATAAAGACTGCGATCCTTTCACCAACAAAGATGTAGGAGCTTCAGACCAGGTAATACAAGTCCCAATAGTAGCGTTTTAATCTGTACTCACAATGCTTACGCTTAATCTGACCAAATCTAATGTTCGCCAGCTCCTTCCTTATCTGGTGATGGACATACTAGCAGAATTCCCAGGACTGCCTGGATTGTTTGTGGCTGCAGCTTACAGTGGTACATTAAGGTGAACAACAAATACATGTCTGTCAGATAAGTCCACCCTCATCATTTTGGGAAAGGTTTTCTAACCAGGACCATTGGAAATATATATATTTTTCTGACCAAGGGCAATTGTTATAGCAGTGCCAAGCCAAATACATATAAATATACATTTAATATACATATACAATAAATACACCAAACTATATTAAATACATGATTATATAAATAATAAAATAATTATTTTGAATATTTTTAAATATTATTTTTTCCCAGTTATATTTACACATATATATGTGACCCTGGACCACAAAACCAGTCATAATGGTCAGTTTTTTGAAATTGAGATTTATTATACATCATCTGAAATAAATAAGCTTTCCATTGAAGTATGGTTTGTTAGCTTAGGACCATATTTGGCCGAGATATATATTTATTTGAAAATCTGGATATAAAACTATATTAAATGTATTATTATTATAATTTTTTAAATTTCAAATATTTTTTTTTATATTTATTATAACAATTTGAAATATCATAACATACTTAAATTAGAACATGAGAATTTAGTTGACACAAAGTGTGGGATCCTCTAAATGTTAGGTCATGATGTAACACTACATGTGAATTTAGTTGATGTCAGGTCAGCATTAATTGTATCTGGTTTCAACAGTACGGTGTCGTCGAGTATCAATAAGGGTGCTTCTACTAAATACTGAGCAAAGGGTCTGAATACTTAGGACCATTTGATATTTCAGTTTTTCTTTTTTAATATATCTGCAAAAATGTCAACAATTCTGTGTTTTTCTGTCAATATGGGGTGCTGTGTGTACATTAATGAGGAAAAAAAATTAACTTAAATGATTTTTGCAAATGGCTGCAATATAACAAAGAGTGAAAAATTTAAGGGGGTCTGAATACTTTCCGTACCCACTGTATACACTGACAACTGAAGCAGGACCTGGTAGAGGAGGGGGATGATGGACTGACGTGTAAATGCTGTGCTGCTTATCTCTAGGTGTATTCTATGGAGGCGTGTGCATCGGTATGGCTGGTGTGGCATCTTTGATGGGCAATATACTGCAGGTAAATCTATTCTATACACAAAGCCAACATTTTAAATGCAATACTGCAGTACTGTCACTGCATCAAAGGCACCCTCTGCTGATAACAGACTGTAATTACACGCTATGAAACCCTTCCTCAACAGGCAGCTTTGTCTATATTTGGTATGATCAGTGGACCTCTCTTGGGCCTTTATTTGCTGGGCATGTTCTTCCGCTGTGTGAACTCCACGGTAAGAACGTACATCTCAATGTACTCATTACTACATTTCAAGTGTCATTTTGTGCATCTTTTTCAACAAATTACCAGTGTCTTAAAAGTGCACCAAGTAACGTTTTCCATAGAAACGGTTTGTGAACAGGGTATTTCTACAGTAGCTTCAGTAACTAAAAAATGCTTGCTTTTTACATCATTCTGCATCCACACTAATAGGGTTTCAAGACCACTGTCATATTAACAAAAGAACTTAATGCACTTTTAACACTAAACCAAAATTAAACAAATTACCAGTGTCTTAAAAGTGCACCAAGTAACGTTTTCCATAGAAACGGTTTGTGAACAGGGTATTTCTACAGTAGCTTCAGTAACTAAAAAATGCTTGCTTTTTACATCATTCTGCATCCACACTAATAGGGTTTCAAGACCACTGTCATATTAACAAAAGAACTTAATGCACTTTTAACACTAAACCAGAATTAAACTCTTTCCCCCGGTTTCACAGACATGGCTTAAGGCGAGTCCCAGACTAAAACGCATGTTTGAGCTGTCTCAACTCAAAATATCTTCCTCTGACATATCTTCAAATATGTCAGTTCCATTGTTCTGTCTCAAGATGCACACATGTAACGTCTTCTTCTAAGGCATTTTTATAAAAGCTGCTTAAATATCTTAATTTAACTAAGGCCTGGCTTAAGCTAGTACCACAGATTCATATGGATTAACTGTGTTCCTTCAGGGAGGTTTAGTTGGTTTGATTTCCGGCCTGGCTATAACGTTATGGGTGGGAATTGGAGCTCAGGTGTATCCTCCTTTACCTGAGAAGACCCTTCGGCTTTCCTTGAGTGTGGAAGGATGCATTGCACCAGATATGAATGAAACCACCACTATGACACCATTCAGCACAGTCCTACAAACCACAACTCCACAGTAAGCAATCCCATATTTGTATATATTTACAAAACAATTCAAAAGGTTGGGTTCAGGGTCTCTTATGCTCATCAAGCCTGCATTCATTTTATTAAAACACACCGATGCAGTTAATTTAAAAAATATTTTTACAATTTAAAATAATTGTTTTGTGTTTTCAAATATTTTAAAATGTAATTTATTTCTGTGATGTCAAAGCTGAATTTTCAGCAGCCATTAATCCAGTCTTTTAGGAAATCATTATAATATGCTGATTTGCTACTCTATAAATATTTCTTATTATCAATGCTGAAAAACAATTTCTGTAATTCTTAATAGTTTTTGTGGAAATGTGATACATTTTCAGAATGCTAAATAGAAAATTTCAAAATATATATAAATAAAAATAATACTTTGTTTTAAATAGAAATCTTTTGTAACATTATAAATGTCTCTATTGTCATTTTTTATCAATTTAATGCAACAAACAGAAATCAAAGCTAACTGTAACTTGTCTCATGGCATTCTTCAGGCCAAGACCAGCTTTGGCAGACAACTGGTATTCATTGTCCTACCTGTACTTCTGTCCTGTGGGCATAATAGTGACCATGGTCACAGGACTAATAGTTAGTGCAATCACAGGTAAGGTGACTCTTTCACATCTTCTTTTAGGTGTGGCAAAGAGAGTCAGAGATTGAACCTAAACTCTTATTTATCTTTACTTTAGGTGGCTGTAAGCTGGAGAAAGCTCGACCTGAGCTCTTTATTGGAAAATCAGATCTCATCTGCTTTGGATGCAGAAACTCAGACTCAGAGGTGAGAGCTTTCATTACCAGTGTGACCAAAAAAAAAAAAAAAAAAAAAAAAAAAAAAAAAAAAAAAAAAAAAAAAAAAAAAAAAAAAAAAAAAAAAAAAAAAAAAAAAAAAAAAAAAAAAAAAAAAAAAAAAAAAAAAAAAAAAAAAAAAAAAAAAAAAAAAAAAAAAAAAAAAAAAAAAAAAAAAAAAAAAAAAAAAAAAAAAAAAAAAAAAAAAAAAAAAAAAAAAAAAAAAAAAAAAAAAAAAAAAAAAAAAAAAAAAAAAAAAAAAAAAAAAAAAAAAAAAAAAAAAAAAAAAAAAAAAAAAAAAAAAAAAAAAACCTCATAGAAACGGAATTTTATATATTGTTTTTTTTAGGTCTGAAATAATATTTTTCAGTTAAAAAATAAAATAATAACAACATGCAGTAAGCTGACTTTGCATTTAATTGCATTTCATTCTTTTCTTTTTAGGTGTCAGACTTAATTGAGAAAGATCCAAAAAATATCCAAGGGCTGGAGAGTCCAGTTTTCTGCGACAATGAAATTGCACTGAAAAAGAAAGACTACAAGGAGAAGATCACTAAGTTTTGATTTGAAAAACAAACAGTTTTTGGATATGTTGTAAATAGTAAATTATGACTGTATTTTTTGTATGTTGAAATTGTTAAGTGATGATGATACATTCAATCTTTTCAAACCTTTCCATGAGAGAAGCAAGAAATTACTTTTTATTTTTATGTCAATAGGCTACATTATACTGTATATGGGCTTTTCTCATAAACTATATCAAAATTCTGTGATTTTAATGATCAAGTTTTGAATACTGTAAACGGTTTTGTAATAAATCTGAATTGTTTTGAAATAAAATTTGGCAAATGATTACGTGTCAAACTCACTGAGAAATAAAGTAGCACTCAGGAAGAAACCACTGAAATCAAACATGTGCAACAGAGTGAAGGGTTAAAAACACTTTGGTTACACACGGGTTAAACAATGGCTGAACACCTGCCTCCTCGATGCCGGTAAAGGAAGTCAGTCATTCAAGGCCGGCCCACTCTACCTGTTTGTTTGACGTGGAGCCGAGCTGTTTTCTTCAGGAAGTGGAGAGCGGAGCCTGCGGCAGGTGGGGGAGTGTAATAACTGCTGCCAGCTACTTCCTGCTTTCACTACCACCGTTTCTTTCAGCTTACAGGTAAGTTCTGCTCTTTTGTCCGATATTAATTCTGTTTTTATATAAACTACAACTATCACACAAATGAGAGGATGAAGGAGAATGAAAGCAAGATGAGAGAAAGAAATAAGAGAAGAATTAGTTTCTTTTAAAAAGGTCCATAACACACAGCTTTTGTAACAATAATGTATACTGGATGTAAATTCAATTAACAATTAAATTATGGGAAGCCACTTTATTAGGGTAAATCTGTGATGGGGGACATTTATAAATGGGTCGCCCATGGCTGTTTGTTTAGCCTATGCAAAACCATGTGGCTCTTTGTTGTCTTCAGTTTCATGTCAGCGCCATTTTAGACTATTATAATGCCTTATGTTCTTCCAACTTCCTGTATGTGTTCTTTTAAACAAAGTATGCATTTAATTTTTTAATCAATGTATTAATAATTCAAATGTCTAGTACAAAAAAGGTGTTTTGGTAAAGAAGAGAAAAACACTGTTTAAATAATAAAATACAAAGGAAGTCATGATGCTACCTATTTACCAGAAATAAAAGCGCCTTGCAAGCGCCTAACAGGAAACCACATGTCAACACCACATACAGATAAAATGCACTGAATTAGGTCATGCGTTGTATGAAAGTGTATGTCTTATCTCTTGACCTGTTGTGACTTATGTTGAGTATATGTTTTTGTTTTTTTAAGGAGCAAGCAGTTGCAACAGTTATGGGTGTGTTAACTCTTCAGCTTTTGGTATGTGGCCAGCTAATATTGTTGTCGTTTGTCTTGAATAATATAACCGGTGCACAAAGGATCAGTATGTCACCATCAAGCTTGACAACTACAATAGCTCCACCTCTGAATGCAACAGGAAACCACACAGAAAATGTCTCAAATTTATCAAGCTATTCAGCATACAATGATAGCGCAACAACTCAAAACAACTGGACAACCCCCACCACTACTTTGGGACCCAACCAAAGCAATGTAACAGGATCAGCAGGGAAGCTAAACACAACAGAAAATGCTCAGACAACCCAATCAGCCACATTCAACATCAGTTCAACAGCTATCACTTCTACAGACAACAGCACTCATAGCAGCAATGGAAGTGCTACATCAAGCACTACAGCAGTGACCCAATCCACTGCGATTACTTCTACTGCTGTAACTCAAAACAGCTCAGCTTCCTTCAATGAATCTCAAGGTAGGTCTGAACATAACCTAGCATTAATAATGTAAACCAAATAATGAAATATGTTTACCCTGCCTAACTACTCCTACCTCTATCTTAAAGCAGACGGTGGCCTGAATCATTCAGAGAAATCTCTGACCATTTTATTCAGCATTCTACTTGGTGTAATAGTTCTGGTAATTCTGGGACATTTTGTGTACAAGTTCGGCAGGAGCAAAGAGAGAAGTGTCCAATACACTCACCGCCGCCTCCAGAATGAAGATACAGGTTAGGAAAACCTATCTGTTAAAACGAATATTTCCTTGTAATATGATCAATGATCTTATTGGTGGTGTTTTGCTAAGGTTTTAAAAGACCTAGCAACCACTCATTACACCTTAGAAATAGGTTAAAGTCTGATAAAGTTGTCAGGCCAATTCCAACATCATGCCGTCAAGTCATGGGCGATGGGCAAGCACATTTAATCTAGCATTTAGTTTACAGTAATCATAAAGAATAAATATTCACTATGAACGGTATTATTGTCTGTAATTCCCTTTCATAGGTGAGCCGTTTGCACTGCCAGATGACACGCTGGTCATTTCAGGAGGACTCTATGATGGCCCTCAGATTTACAACCCCACCATGACAGTGCAGAACGAAGAAATCCAGACAGACACATCTGGATTTGCTTCCAGACCCACTCAGTTCCGCTTGGAGTTTCTGAGAGAGGATCAAGACAGAGCATTCGACCATGAGACCTCCACCTTTCAGACATTCCATGCACATGACCAAGAGCCTTAAGATCTCAGCAACAAACCTCTTTTTATTAGAAAAAAAAAATATTTTTGAGCTGAAAATGTTACTTTTAGTTGAAGAGTCTATGGGAAAAGACTGTTTTTAAAGTTACATTTTTTGAACTTTGAAACTGAAAATTTGAAGTAATGAAATTAGTGAACATAACAGATAAACACAAATGTAAATACAAATATGTGAAAAACACAACCAACAATACCAGGAACCAGCATTTTTTGATAAACATTTTAAGGTACTGTATTTTAACTGAACATACTATATAGAGAAACTGTGTACGAAGAGCTTAGAATAAATAATATAAATATACTTCTACTTATTCAAACATCAGTAGAAATTGCAAGCAATCAAAAGCTATTGTCTTAAGAGTATGTGTACTCTAATTTAAAAAAAAAAGGATAATCACACATTTTTTGATGCTTTGATACTTTTAAGCAAAGATTTTGTCTGTTACTTTTTTTTTCTTCTTATCTGAATTGCTAACGGTGGTCCATCCAGCATCTCGCATTCTCTTTATTGCAGCCAGTTTCAGCACTGTTCCTGGAGATTTACATGGAAAAGAACTCTGCACCTGTACATCATTTGCATATGATGACAGTCAAAACAAGAACATAAAGGAATAAAATTGGGACAAAACTGGTCAAATGTTATTTTTTACCTTCTTGAACATGTCCAAACTCCCTGTGTCTGCCTCTTTTGGTTGCATAGGTTTCTTTGATTTCACAGGTCTTGGAGAGAAACTCTAAGGGAATTACGAAAGAGTAACACAAACCAAATAAAACTGACTGCAATTAAAAATGCAGATCACTGAAAAACTGTTTGTATATAGCACTATACCAATGGTATGTAAATAGATCAAATTTACCAGTATGTCATTGCTGTCTGAGTTGTCTGATTTTGGATCCAGCTTCAGAATGTTTTCCTTCCAAGACCCTGTAATCTCAGGTGTGGGTGGTGTGCGAATTCTGAATGACTGAAGTGGAAAACAAACTGGCTCATATAAATGTTCAAGATGAATGATGAATAGTGCAAAGAGTTCAGGTTGCCCCCATACCTTTATTTGAGGTGTTGTTTTAGTCGTTTTGCTCCATAATGGGGTATGAAGGTCTTTATTCACCGTTCCCTTGCATCAATAACAAAACAAAACAAAAACAAACAAAAAACACACACACACAAAATGTTGATAGATGTGAAGAATAAGAATGCAAAAAATGGACAAAGATAATGGGAAAAAACCTACAGCAGGAGTGTAAGATGCATTTCTTGATGCTTCATTTTCATCCTCATTTAAAAGTTCATACACTGCCTTCTTTGTGATGTCAGCTTTTTGAGTTTTAGAGATCTTGTTTCTTCCTTTCTTTGGTTTGATTTCATTTGCCTAAAACAATATTTTCATATTGCACTGTCCATTTTAAATTGCCATGTATACTTATGGTATCTCAAATGACAAGATACAACACCTGTTGAAGTGTGTCTTTTTCAAGAGATGAGACTGGTGTCCTCAATGCCATCTTCTCTCCTTTGAGCTTTTCAAGTTGTTGTCTAAGCTCTTCATTTTCCACTTGCAGGTGAGACAGCTCCAGTTCCTAAATTTATCGGTTATTTGGTTTTTAGCAGACTTGTAAATCCAAAAAATTTACATTATCTACTAAAATGACAATAGTGCTACAGCAATCTTGGATTAAATATCTCAAGGACACAACTCAGCATCAAAGATTCCAATGAATTTATAAATCCATATTTTGGACCTAGGACTCTATAATTAACATCTCAGACATCTAATGACTAGGGCTGTGTATAACCAGCAAAGTCACGATACGATACATATCACGATAAAGGACTGCACTGAACCTCAGAAGAATTTAGTAAAACAGCTGTTTATTAAACACTGCATATCTCTCTCTCTCTCTCTCTGTGTCGTAAATGAACAGTTGATGAATTACGCTTTTCTGAGAATAGAATATTGAAGTGGAGATCGCTAAACTGCAAGGTAAAACTAAAACCGGTGTTTTCAGAAAGCAAGCGCGTTTATCCAGTGGAGAGAGAGCGCGCGTGCACATGGTTGCCAGGTTGACAAAGATAAGTAACACACTTAGCCGAAATTTCCGTATTGCGCAAGTGGGAAGCTCTGTTTCGGGTATTACGTCTCTTTATATCAGGCAACCCAGTTGTGTTCCTCTGCGGCCAGATTAAACCTTGTTATAGCCTATATATTATGCTCTATTAATTATTTTTTAGAAACATCGAACTTTTCTGCTCAATTTTAAACGTTGTTCTTGTATTCAAATTGAGCGCGGTCCACTGCTGCACACGTGCCACAGTATCGATACAGGGCCAGCTGTATCGATACTTGTATCGTCAAATCTCTGTGACGATACATCGTCGTATCGATGTATCGAACACAGCACTACTAATGACTATGTTATTTTGAGTAT